TTGATGAAAAGAATGGAGAGCATTTGCCCTGCTTCCTTTAACAGTCCAGAGCCCACAGACTTAGGTTTAACTAGATAATTTTGTTCCCAAGGTTCTTCTTTCCATCCCCACTGTCTCTTCTCTAGCCTATTCATTATGTTTTATGTCTACCCCATTCCTATTCGAAGGTGTCTCCTGCTTTATTGGGTCCCATCTCTTCCTCGTGCTATCAAGTCAAAAGGACATCTTAGCTAATGTTTGTTGAATTCCTACACTGTCAGGCACATTCTGGGTATGGTGGAAACAGCAGTGAAACCAAAAGACACAAACTCGTGCTCTGATAGAACTTAGCTTCTATTGGAGTAACCAGTATTTAAAATAATTTAGGGACTGTGTGTTGTGTATCCCATGGTTGTCACTGCTGTCAAGTTGAATCAGAGAGGGAAAGCAGTGGTCAGACGTGATGGCATTTTTATCTAGGGTGATCAAAGATGGCCGCTCTGAGAAACAGATGCTCAAGGAAAGAATTAAGAAATCATGAAAAGATCAAAGATGGTGGCACTGGCTGGGCTTGGAGGACAGTGGTAAGAGATGAGGTCTGAGGTCTGAGAGCTCACAGGGAAAGGGGCTCCTGTTAGGCCTAGTGGTCATGATGAGGACATTATGACTTTCAGTGTGATGAGATGAGGAATCACCACATGGTCTGAGCATAGAAGTCAATGTGTGATCTGACTTATCTTTTCAAAGGAATGTAGGAGTGCTTATGCTGAGAATAGTCCACAGGGCTTGAAGGATAAGAGTGAGGCCTGGGGGGTTAGTTGAGAGCCTACTGCAATATTCTAAGCATTTGGTGGCAGTTTGGGCTAAGATAGGGGCAATGAAAGCAAAAGGATTCTGGATATATCCTTCATAGAAGCTTCCTCCAACTGAAAGACTTTTTAAATAACCTCTGTAAACTCTAGAAGCTGTAAGGGAAGCTCTGTATATACATCCTCAGAAGACTGGAGCTTGAGTAGTGCACAACCTCAAGAGGGTATTTTCTAACCTGGGCAAATGCAGGGCAGGGAAGGAGGCCTATCATCAACTCTGGCAGAAGAAAAAAAATGTATCTATCAAGGAAAGAGGCATCAGGCTGGCCCCATAGTCTAGTGGTTAAGGAAGTCAGATCTTACATGGCTAACTGCAGTTTAAATTTCGGGACCAGCAGGCCATGTTGCGGTTATGTCACCGGACTCCCACATGACCGGCCATGGTTCGAGTCCCAGATCCAAGGTTTGAAACTCATGCCAGGCACACATGTGTGTGCATGCCCGAGATTCTAGGAGGAGAACAGAGGAGAAGGGATTGTGGTGTGTCCATCTCCCGGATGATTTCTTACTCTCCCTCTCACTGTCTCTCTCTCTCTCTGGCGAGTGCATGCTCCCTAAGGCAAAAACCTCTTTAAAAAAAACTTGGCCCTGGTAGCTTGAAAAAACATTCTGGGTGTGTGTGTGTGTGTGTGTCCCCAAAATCCCTACAGGATGGAGAAGAGATTGTGGCATGACCACACTCCCTTGGAAGATGCTTTCTCTGTTTTGCTCTCTATCTTTCTCTAGGGAGTGCTGCACCCTCGGTCAAAAACCAACATATTCTAAACCCTAATTCTTTATCAGTTTTTATAGTGTTTTTTTTCTTAGATAATGGTGTGATTTATGAGAATTTCCTTAATTGATTGCTGTGAAGACAGTGGTAATTTAAATTTCACTGCTGTTCTGATCACAAGTGGGTATGTGACATTTTTAATTTTATCGTGTGTGTGTGTGTGAAATAGAGAGAGAGAAAGAAAGAGAAAGAGACAAAGACAGAGTAAGAGTGAGTGGGCTACAGAGATGCCACTATTCCCTGAGCAATAAAAGCCTGAAATCCTGCTAATAAGCTTTAAAAAACCTAACTTTTTTTGTGTGCTTAATAATAGCACTTTTTACTGACATAACCAGAGTTCCTGGGATAATTGCTCTCTTTCCCGTTTTATTTTTAGGACCTACATTTTTTTTTTTTTTTTTTTTTGCTTGGAGGGAAAGTACCTTCAGGTGCAGAGCATTCTGTCTAAAAGCTCCATTCTGGGGCTTCAACATTTGGCCCTAAACCATGTTAAATGCATTCTTTCAAGTGAAAGTGAAAGATTGAACTAAAATCCATCACTGGAACTCTGGGGTGGTTTCTCAACTCAGTGAAAGGATGAAAGAGCAATCATTTGCTGAAGCCCATCTTTCCCAAATTGAGGACTCTTCTGGTGGCTGTTTTATCTGATGCCTTCCTTTAGATCATTTGTGTTTGCAGTATGGAACCAAACAGTTTATGAAAACACAGAACTTAGCAGAACATTTTGCAAAGACACTAGCATCGAAGGCAAAATAAACACGAATACCTCTAGAGCCCTGAGTAAGAATAGAAATATTTAAGATGCATACATGTAGGGAGTTTTTAAGAAATAGACCATAGCATATTTAAGGTGCATTTAACATGTAAGGCACCCTTCAAGGTGCAGTGCTGAAAGATACTTTTAAACATTTGTGTCTGTAAATGCTCCCAACTCAATGAACCAATGCACTATAAGGAAGAGAGGAATCCTGATTAGAAAGAGAAAATGAGATCGAATCAAAGTTGTGGCAGATATTGGTTGAATTATGTGGATTAAGTTGCCAGGATTATTTTTATGGATGACTATTTTGGGTAGGCAGTAATATTTATTTTTGGGTGTAGATTTCCATGCTGACTTTTCACCTTTAATCACTGATCTGTTCTTTTCTCTCCTTATGCCTGTACTTAAATAGACAGTTTGAAAAGTTTAATGGCATTAAAGGTGGGTTTCTAGAAACCATCTTACTGGTCACTTCTTTTATTATCCTTTCTTCCAGAAATGGGGAGGGACCTTTGAGACAAAGCAGTGTCTGTGATATACAAAGTTATTCAACATAGGCTTATGCTGTAAAATTAAAGTTAGTGGCATGTTGACTTTGATGCTTCTTCTCTGAGTATGATTTATTAGAAGGGAGAATATGGTTAATCTTTAACAAATTACAAGAGAGTGTGAGTACATGAGATAGATATAAACCGTGTCTACGAAGATTCCATGTAGGATCTTAGGAAGCTACTGGATTCCTAAGTCACTTACAATTATTCTACTCAGTGTATCAGGTTGTGTTTAGAAAGTGTTTGCAAGAGTGAGTAAAATGGGTTGCGTTTACCTTTTTTTCTTTTTTCTTTTACATTCAATCACTGTATATCATGATAGCATACAAAATGAATTTTCCCAGCATGAATGCATTTACCTTTCTTGAGTTTTTTCCCACTCCCTGATGCTGAACAAGATACTGCAGGAGTGGAAAAGAGAACTTTCTTCCCATGCAGATTTTGCAATCCAGTTAGAGATGAAATTGAGGAATGGTGCCTAAACTAAAAGTAAGAGGGTGCACACATTTAGAGACACGTATTTATGTGTGCTGGTCTTCACAGAAGGAAGCAGCTAGCTCTCTCCCTTTGAAGATTTTAGTATTCACCTTCTCGAAGGTGACCATTTGATCTCTCTCAGTCCCTTTTATCATTCAGTTACAGCAAATCCAGGATGAGGCTTTATACAATTCAATTTTGTATTCCAATCTGAAAATGCATTATTCCTTCCTCAAGAAAATAACTTGTCTGTGGCCAGCGAAAATGCATTATTCCTTCCTCAAGAAAATAATTTGTCTGTGGTCATTTGTTGTTTTCTTTACCTCTGCACTGAACTTCATCTTAGGACCCAGAAATGCCAAGTGAATTTGTAAAATGAAAGGAAGCCAGTGGCTTTCTAAGTCACTTAAAATTATGCTACTCCATGTATCAGGTTCTGAAAATCAGAGCAACTATTACCCAATTTTTATATTCGAGGGGATATTGATGACATGGAGGTGGTGTTAATTACAGGTAAAATTAAAAGGGTTTTCCCCCTTCCTTTTTTCCAAATGCCTACTTCTTCTTTCTCCACCTTGTGGACAGTGCTTGAAGGGGTGGAGGGATGGCAATCATTTAACCATTTATAGGAATGCTATTGGGTTGTCAGGGAAGTCATGACACATATTTACATGTATAAACAGAAAAACACATCATGGCTTTCTCAAATATCTTACTCTCTTTCAGAGGTGGTTGCATTAAAAACCATATCTATGATTATGGAGGCATGATTTTTTCAGCTTCAGATGCCATCCAGCATGGGAATTCATTCCTGCATTAATATCCTTTTTGATCAGACCTGAAATTCTGCTAAATAAGTAATCATCCACTTCATGTGCTAACTCAACCCAGTACAGAAGAATATATATAATAAGGTAGATTGAATTAACCCTTATATTATGAGCTTTCTCAGATTTTCCCTATCACTATCATGACACTGGATACTATAAGCAATTGTCAACTTCAGTGCCCTGAATGGTGCTTTCATGCATTAAAGAAAGGTATGCCATTGGGAGCTGGGACAGTGATCTGTTTTTTTTTTTTTCCCTCCCTGTGTTTTATTGTGTGATAGAGTTAGATTATCTCTTACACACAATGTGTTTGTTTGCTTCCAGGAGATAGTGATCAAGAGGAGATTGTTCCCAGCAAGAAGAGTGCTATTCTTGTGGATGGTGTTGTGCTGAATGGCCCTACCACAGATGCAAAAGCAGGAGAGAAATTTGTGGAAGAGGCCTGCAGGTTAATCATGGAAGAGGTGGTTTTGAAGGCCACAGACGTCAATGAAAAGGTAAAAAGAAAAACTTTAAGCTCAGGAATGGGAAAGATAGGTTCTACTTTTTGATGGGTAGACATAAGGGAAACGGGAAGCACAAGCTATCATTTGCTCTATGCCTTTGTCTCAAGGGGGATGTCCAGATACCAAATTTCGGGTTACCCTTTGCCTCACCCAGGTCTTCTTTCCTCACATGGTGAATGTATTACGCTCCCAGGTGTCATCCGTTGGGAGATTGCCCAAGACTCCATAGCTTGATCAGATACAACCTTAAAGCACAGGATGAAGCTCCTTGCTCCAGATAATATTAAAGATTATAAATAACCTGCTACTCTAATTTGTAGTCTCTCCAAAACGTACTTTGCTCTTTGTTTTCTTATACGTATTCTTTATGTCACTAGTCAAAATCAAGTAGACAGTAAAAAAGAGTGTGAAAACATTTTTTGTTTATTGTGGTCCTACTAAGAGCACAACTGAACATAGGCTAGACATCTTGTATTAAGTCTGACTCCTTACTCATTCCATTTTCTGGTTCTAGGTTTTTTTTTTTTTTTTTTAGAGAGAGAGAGAGTTTTTTTTTCTTAGGGG